TGCATGCAATGTACTTCAAGGGTTGTCACTCCCTTCTTTATTACTCTTTTCAGGGCAGATACCTACACTTGGCTTTCCTCCTCTCCTTACACTTGGGAGTCCTTCTCCTCATTTATTTCGTTTTAAAGAACGAACGAATGTACTCATGTTTCCGTCGGCTCGCCTTTATAAGCAAGGTTGACCTCCCTGTCTTGGGGCTGTGCCAAGTGAATGACCACGTACGCGCACATTCTATAAAGTTTATTTATACGTAGTTAGTGATGTATGACCTTTGATGTCTAGCATATTCATTTGTTTAGAACATTAAACATTAACCATTATATACGTAGTTCTACCGCGCCGATCATCGGTTAATCTTTATATTGCATGCCCAATTGTCCATGGAATGGATTTCAGTATATAATTTACTGTACAATTTAGCAAGAATTTCGATTTTAATTTCCGTCTAAATTTTGCTCCAATCTGCTAGGCCTACACCTGCACAATCCGCATTCCACAAGTGATCTTCTTCGAATGAAGCTCCACAAATACTAAAATATTACCGTTTCTTTTTGTTTTCCTTCTATATAGATATTAATGATTTATGCTAATAGTGATAATGGCAATTATAACAGCAATGATAATAATAAGGATACCAATTAAAAAATAAAACAATAGTGGCAATACTCCTATTACTAATATATTATTGTTTGTCATTATAACTATAGTAATAGATATAATGTGTATGTTTGATTTTATTTTCTAGAACCAGCTTGCATCTTCATATCCTTCAGGTATCAAATGATTCTTATCGATATCTACTGACCAAATAAAGCAAAAAGTCGGCGTAATTAATGAATAATTACAGCATGAATGTACTATTTTTATTATGATCATCACTATGATCGTCACTGTCATTGTTATCATCCTTTATTGTTAACATCACCATTATTGCACATTATCATTTACCGTTATGATGGTCAACATCACCACCATATGCATAATAGCCTTAACAATAATATAGCATGGTAGAAATGTGGAAGTCAATCATATAACATGCAAATGCAATAAAATAGTTGGTTTAAGACAATAAGCTATAACTCACGATTCTAACATATAATGTGGCGTCAGGTGTGATAACTGGTTTTGTTCAAAATAACATTTTAATTAACATGGTTATTTTGATACCTCAAGGTATGTTTTGAAACGGAATGACTATTTCACAAGATGAGGCAAAAGTACTCCAGCAACTTTTGTTTTTACAAACTGGCGACAGTGCCGTCTTCAGCAATAGCGTCGTGAGTCGGCTATGTTTTCGAAGGAAAACTCCGAACCGTCAGAGGATCGTGGTGGAAAAACCCGTCAGGTGGTTTCGCTACTTCTCATGTCGGCCAGTGACAGCGTAAATCTCGAGAGTGGAATGGCGACTTATATAGCCAACAGATTCAGTGCATGCCATCTTTTGTGATGGAACAATGGATGGATGGAAGAAAATGGGGTGGTGTGTGCGCTCGAAACACTGGTCGGCAGCCATGGCTTGTTTGTTTGTTGCATCTAATTAATATAATATTTCGAATTCATTTTGAGACGGTTAGCAGTTCGAAGTTCTAAGTGACCGTCTAGCTAACCTGGAATGCCAGGTCGCTCATGAAACCTAATCGCATATTGCAATTAAATGCCAGAGGGGCAACCACCACCAGTGCTATAACCTAACCTAACCTAACCTAACCTAACCTATAATACTCGGTTTCATTCACTGTGACCTACTCTGCTCCCCTTCGGTTTCGGGAGAAAGATAAAAGTTCGTGTCCGGATAGAACCCAACACTTCTTTTTGCATGGGCGAGATCCTTCAAGTGCTGCTCTTGGGCATCATTCGCTCCGTGCTTGCCAACAATAGCCTCTGCCACCCAGAGAACGTCCGGTCGGTGAAAATGTTGGCATACAGTTGATGAGACTGATTAGACAAGTAGTGAAGGAAGAGATTGATGGGCATCGGGAAAATCGTCACTGAATATAAACTCGATGCTGAAAATACGTTGTCAGAGCCTTCTGTCAAGATTCATTGGCTGTTGAAGAATAAACAGAATCAAGCAGACGAGAGCCAGTCCATCGCTTGACCTGAATAAGGGCAGAAAAACTATATTTCTATTTTTTATTTATTTATTTTTCTGCAGCTCAGTTCTTGATTGATGGAACTGGGAATTATGTTATTCAGAGGCAATATTCATGAAATTTCTAGACTTTTTTTTTCTTTTAGATTTTCGCACATATCTCATAAAGACATAAGACCCGCCTTCTCAATCTTTTAACGAAAAGGCACATGTTTTAAGAACTGTAATTGGTATACAAGATCGAAAGAGAAAGTGGGATGGTCTTATCCGAAGTACTGTCTTCCTGAAAGTAATCCAGTCCCGTCTTCCTTTGTAAAAATTACAGCAAAATGAACACCTCAGCTTTACTGCACAAAATGACACTTCCATACAGAGTGCTGCATGGAGATGAGTATACACAGATATGTAGTAAGAAACTCGTCGAGTGCCAGTATCTTTTCCTTGAAATGTGAAAATCACAATTATTTTGTCTTTCTCCATCAAGGTAAAGCAACTTACTTTTGGATAGATTATGAAATGATAAATTTTGTGTGATATTATTGTGGTGGTGCTAGGGTGTGCAATCGAATCATTATTTGTTGCATTTATACACACATTTCAATCTTTTTGGAAAATTCATGGGAAGGTAAACGACACTATTCAAACAATACTGCAATATTCGTGAAAACATTGGTTTACTGGCCACTTTTTTAACTGTCCGTAGAACTTTTATCTGAATCCTAATATAATCCACTTTAATCTTGCCAATATTGACTTTAACGCAAACGACTACTTCATAATTATGGGACCTTGGATCAAGTCTTTCTTTGTTGGTCTTACTGGTAATTTACAACCGATACTGTAATGAAATTGAAACTTATGATTTTTATCGCAACCGAGTCGGTGCTACAACTTGGGATCTGTACATAAACGCATTTGATGACGCTTTAGTAGTATATCCTCGTATCACCAAAGAAATATTGCATTTGCAGTATTCAGATCCTTTAATATTCTTTCCATAAACCAGGCGATAATCTGTTTGCCCTGACTTGGACTTCAGTATAATCGTGATTTCCTTCGTGACTGTTTACAACTGGCGAGTTCCATCATTATGTCTTCCGTCATCCAGGTTTTGTAATTCAAAGGGTGTGAAATGCGGGCGCGCGGTGTGGATCCAAAGCAAAAGTCGTTATCAACTTGATTTATATTAAGATACCCGGTTGATCTTTAGAAAAATGTCTCGTCAGAATTAGATTGGCTAAATGTATGCTGTTTGAAGACTTAATTTTTAGAATTATCAGAATGACACGGAGGGGAACCAGTTACCTAGGCAGAGCACAAGTGTTTTTGGCTTTTATATCTGACCTGTTATTTCGATGTCTTTAGCATGGTGAGTGACGGGATTACCAGTATCCAGCAGAGCAGATACTTTATTTGTTCATTAAGTTTTTTCGATTTTTTTTTCTTTTTGAGAAATGAATTGCATGATAATCGTATCAGATTTCCTCCCTATAATGTGGTCTTTTTCACCAAATACCTTCGTATACAAAAATATAATTTCCTGTATTTTCCTGTAGACATCCTTGGCTTTTCCATGTTTGTGTAAAGTGCGTTGCCTGCATGGAACACAACATTGCACTTCGTTGTGGAATTGGATGCATTGCAAGAGGGCCTTGGGAAACAAGGTTAGGGTTTTGTCCGCTCCGGTTCCCCTGTTGGCTCTGCCTCTTCCCCGTCCGCCAAACATGGTCTCCAATTTTTTCGTTTCCCACGCGATCTACCAGCATTCTCTTTAAAATTTCATGTCTTGAATTCTGGTTTCCAGTCTCCACATCATCAACCTGACATTAGAACTTTTTTTTGTTATGCTAATGAGTGTTGGAGAAACATTTCAGTACATACACTTGCATGGATAGGGTTTCAGTGCAGTGTTGAGTGAATATAACATTTTCGTTTTCTGTTGTGTAACTGACAAAAGATACTGTTTAAGAAAATGTTATTCCATAGAAATTACGAGGGAGTTCGTGATGCTAGTTCCAGTCTAGTAGAAAGAAAAGGATTCGAAATTATCTGTATTTGAGTATTACTTGGGGTAGCATGAAAATGCATGAAATGTAACCTAATGAACAAATCTCATGATGATTATTGCCGCTGAAATGAGAGAAAAAAAAAATCGAGGTCAGTTACACGTATGTAAGGGCTATATGTCTAAATTTGTATATGGAAGGCATAATAAAACTGTCGTATAGTCTCTTA